ATTTTAAATAGAAGAAACCTTAGGAGAGGGAGGAAACAATAGGAGAGGGAGAGGAGAGGGCATCAGGAATTGTCTGGAGGGAAGGCCTGCCGAAACATCCATGTTTTAAGTTGATTTTTAAAGATACCCAGCGAGGGTGCCACGCAAATCTCAGGGGGTAGGTTGTTCCAAAGGCGAGGAGCCACCGCCGAGAAGGCCCGGTTTCTTGTCTTTACCTTCTGGGCCTCCCTCGGCGTTAGGCTCCTCAGCCTCACCTCCTGGCTCGCACGAGTGACACGGGTAGATCTTGGTGGGAGTAGGCGTTCCGCCAAGTATTGAGGCCCTAAACCGTTTAGGACTTTGTACGTAAGCATCAGCACTTTGAAGTCGATGCGGAACCGGATGGGCATCCAATGCAATGCAGCCAGAGTGGGTGAGATATGTTGGTCTTTTTTCACTCCACTAAGTAGTCTGGCCGCCGCGTTCTGCACCACCTGTAGTTTCCGCAGCAGCCTCAAAGGCAGCCCTACGTAGAGCGCATTACAGTGGTCTAATCTTGAGATTACGAGCGCATGCACCAAGGTAGTGAGTGCCCCAACATCAAGGTAGGACCACAGCTGGGCTATCCGCCTAAGGTGAAAAAAGGCGGAACGGACCACGGACGCCACCTGAGATTCCCATTGCTGAGCATGTTCTCTTTGACTCCCGGATCTGTGCTGGAACTGGTCCTGGGGACAAGGTCCTCCTGATCTCTTGAAAGACCTTCTTCTGAAACTGATGTCATTCAGGTGATTTATGGGCTGCACAAAGGATTCCATGTCTTCCATTTTGATCATTTCCTTTTCTTGACTTGGCCAGCACTTAGTCGACCCGACATTTGTTGAGGAACAGGAGGAGGGAGACTGTTTAATCTCATAAGGAATTCCATCAAGCTCAGACCCCAGAGGGAGGAGAGCGTGATCCATCCACTTGAAGGTTACGGCCACCCATCTCAATCTGTTAAGCAATGCCATGTCCTAACAGGAGGTTCCGGACTCCTGGACCCACGTTTCATTCTTTTGGTTTCTTCCTTTGCCTTCCGTGCAGAATGAATTTGACTCTCATCACCCTTGCCAAGTTCTTCTCTGTTGGCTTGCTTCAGGCTCATTTCTAGGCAGAAGGCTGTGTCTTGGTGGTAGCCTAAGGCAGGGCAGTGGAAGAACGGTGGTGGGCTCTGTCTCCTCGTTCAGCTTGAGTTCAACCTGACATCCATCCTTTTGGATTTCTGCCAAACCTCTCCACACTCTGAACCTTCGGCTAAGCCTCCTGAAGGGTTCAACTTGCTCTTCCTCAGCTGCCTCAGTGCAGCTTTCCTCCCAAGAGATCTCCTTTCTATTTGGTTACTGTTGCTTTATACACGTGTTGATCTGTGGGATCAGCAGGATTGTCCTCATAATTTTTGTCACACTCTGTCCCTGAGTGTTCTGACCCGATTGTGTCTTGAAAAGCAGAGATTGGAAATGAATGAAGCAGAGCCTTTTTACAACTCCCAGAATACTCCAGAAATAAAGGTGATCCTTTCCAGGGGTTTCTAGGTGGAGAGTACTCAAACGTGGTTTACCATTCCCTCCTTCTGGAGCTGCTCCTGTAGTGGGCAGTTTTCTGAAGGCATCACAGGCAAGTTTTTCTCTCAGGAGGCCCAGTGGGGAGTCAAACTTCAGAAGAAACTTTTAAGCCCAATCAAAACTGCTACACATTCCCCTGTCTGGAAAGGCCCTTAGTCCCAATGGAGCTTACTTTCCAGGTAAGTGTAACTATGACTACAATCTTAATCACCTTTTGCTCTTTTTCTTTCATCACAAAATCTGTGCCTTTGCACATCCAGTCATTTCCTCCGCAACTTGTCACCCTCATGTTACGCCTTGTTGTTGAACTATCCTCAGCAGAATGACAATGGAACCAGTTACCCTCGGAGGTGGTAAGAGCTCCAACCCTGGATGCATTTGAGAGAAAACTGGACAATCGTCTGTCAGATCTGCTTTGATTTGGATTCCTTCATTGACCAGAGTGTTGGACCCAATGGTGTTATAGGCTCCCTCGAACTCAGTTATTCTATGATCCTAAGACTCCTTCCTTTTTTTTGCTGATATCATGATGTAGAATATTTTTCACCTTTTCAAATAAGGGAAAAATAAAATCAGAATTTTGTTGTCTACAATATCATGCACAATTGGCAAAATGAATGTCTGCGGTACAAACCTACTGATACAGGATTGCCATGCAATACAGCAGTGGCTGAGAAAAACCTAGTTATAATACTCCATCCATGCATTAAGCAACTCTTGACTAAGATACTGTACCACCTCTCTGCCCCAGTCATCATGTGAAGGGCTGCAGTTTCAACCATGGAGCAAAGCTTCAGTTTGGCTCAGAGCTGTAGACACTTGAGGCATACATTTCATGATTGAAAAGCTGACGGCAAGTGTCCCCAAACCTCAGAAGGCCATACAACCCCATATCCCAAGTCATTGACTGATCTCCCCATTTGTCTCTTTTACAAAGCCTCCCACACCCCTTCACCATTAGCTGTGCTGGCCAAGATTTCTGGGAGTTGTTGTCCAAGAACATCTGGGGACCTGTGGTTGGGAACCACCATTTTTGGTCTTCTTTGAGAAGAATTGCTTCACGCTCAAGGTGACCATGGAGTCCAAGAACATCTGGGGACCCGTGGTTGGGAACCACCATTTTTGGTTTTCTTTGAGAAAAATTGCTTCACGCTCAAGGTGACCATGGGTGTTTGGGTTTTTGTTATTTACTTTGCTGCTGGAAGCAGACTTTCAGGTCACACAAAATGCTTTTTTGGGCACAGTTCTGAAATGCAGGGCTAGAGGAGAGCTTGTGGGACATCACAGAGTGACTCAAGGAAGGAAATTGGGCCGGGGACTCTACAAGAGCTGAGCAGCGCCATGAAGAATAAACATCTGGAATGCCATTTCTTCATAAAGGTTGCTCTAAGTTGGAGACAACTTGGCAATGATCCAAAACCTCCCTTACAGTTGGTAAAGGTAAGATGATTGTGATGTGCCATCACATCCTTTCTGATGTATGACTTACAATAACAACAGACCAAGCTGAGGTTGGTAATGTTACATTTTTGGAGGGTCACTCCCATCATTCCCCTTACCAGCACAACTGCGGGTCACAAGAGATTCCTCTGAGGTCAAGGATCTAGGTTTTGTGGATTAGATGGATGGTTCCCTAATTACATGGACTAGTGGGTGATTGCAGTTGGTATGGAAATAGCCTAGACCAGTGATGGCGAATCTTTTTGAGCTCCAGTGCCCAAACTGCAACACAAAACCAACCACGACTGTCCCAAAGGGTCCCTCCGGTCCCACAACCTCCAGCGCCTGCCTGGGACACCCTCCACTCTGACTCCGGCTACAATCTTTAAAGGTGTAGGTGGCAGGAGCTAGGTGTTTCCATACCTGGTGTGCGGGGGTGTGGGGGGCCATGGCAGCCGTTGCTGTCTTGGCTCTCCCTCCCTTCCTAAGACTTCTTCCCGAAATCCGGGATCGTAGGACGGGTAAATATTTCTGAATGGAGACTTATGGCTCGAGTGCCCACAGAGAAGGCTCCGCGTGCCAGCTGTGGCACGCATGCCATAGGTTCACCATCACTGGCCTAGACCAACCAGAAACAGAATCCTCTGATGTCAGAATGAGATCACAGCCCAGAGAGATTCTGTTTTTTCTGCAAACTGACAGTTAACAGTCAGGCAGAACCTTCGCCTGGTCGGGATGGATCTTCACAGTAGGTGAAGAAAAGAGTTGGAGGTGAGCGATCTTAATTTTGGAGAGCTATGGAGATGGGCAGGGACTCAAGAGACCTGGGTTCAAACTGGTCCTTGGGCAAAGAAACCTGTCAAAAGCCGACCAGTCTTCTCATTTCACAGGCCTGGGGCAGACTTGCCATTTGGCTGAGTTTTAGGCAGCCGAATTGAGATCTCAAGCAAGGACTTACTGTGGTTTTATGTTGAACTTTGGTTCCAAGAGAGATATATGTGTGTAGGATTTTCTACCTCAGGTTTCAAAAGAACTTAGCCTGTCCTGCATATCGCACACCTTGATTTTACGCAAACAGGAGAAAAGTTGATTTGAAATACTCCTTCAATGCATAAACGCTGACAAGTGTTATTATCCACATACTAGGTGAAGAAACAAGACTATACAGAAAGAAGAGAGGGACAGAACAAATTGGTGGAAAAAAGTGACATCTTAACTGGAGAAAAAAACCAACATAAGCAAGGGAACCTTCAGCCACCCTGTTCTACAACCACTCCTGTGCGTAATCAAGCACAGTTTTATTTGACAGCATACTTTCTCCTTCTGAGGTACATATATAGCTGGCGGTACTAATTTCATTAATACAGCAATATTTTGGTTTGACTCACAGCCTTTTAAATTTTGGTCATTTTTGCAATGAGCTGTGTTGGAGAAGGTGTTCCTTGTGCGACTCAAATAACAACCATACAAACAATTTGCATTCCAAGGTCTTTTTATTCTAGACAACTGTCTGTTAAGCACTGATGCTGGGCAAGGAGCTCCTGCCAGACCAGCTTTTCCTAAGGACAACCAGCAATATGAAATGCTGTGTGGTCCTTTCATTAAGCTGTGGATGACGTGAAGAACCCCATGGTAAGAACCTAGGTGAGGAATTGAGTTTATGCATTTAATGTGCAGACCTGGTAGTTCCTGGAAGGTAAGGAATCTGCAAGAGTCAGTGTTATGAATTGTTATGTAGTGGACAGAATGCTGGACCGGGGCTCAGGAGACTTGGGTTCAAGTTCCTGTTCATCTATGGAAACTCAAAACCCTGCAGATAAGGCTGCAGGGCTCACAATGGTTTACTGAGATAGTGTAGACCTCTTTCACACATGCCTTTCTTCTTTTCCTGAATAGGTGTCTTGGAAGAATGTTGTGAGTCTTCCTGAACACTAACCAGACCAGACCTGCTGGAAAGGTGGAAATGAATATTAGCAGCTGTTGGCATGGAACATTGTTTGCATCAGCATTGCAATCTTTGGTCTCACTCTCCTGCAGGATCCTGTTCATTCTCAGCAGATCCCTCCCCTCTGTCGGTCCCAATCTCTCTCCCCACCAGTCTGATTTACTCTGGGTCCCAGGACCCCAGTCTTTCTGAATACCTGAAAACTGAGCCACTTCTTGAAATTGGGAAATCAAGTTAGAAATGCCCCTGGGTGCAATTGGGGGATCTATCTGAGCTCTCTCCCAGCCCTCTCCTTCCTCCCCTGCAAGACACCCCCCACCCATGGACCCCCAGCCATTATCCTTCCTTCCTTTTCTGTCATACAGTGATGAGTACCTCTCCCCACCATCACCATGTTTATTCTCATTTGGGCTGGATTGCAGCCTATGGCTTGGCCTCTTCCAAGCAAATTGGATCCCAGTTGGATCCCAGTTCAGGCACAAAAATGTGAGAACCCTTCTCCAATCCTTTCTTGAGCCTCCAAATATTTAGCCTTCATCTGATGGACCAGAGGGTTGGTGGGTGGAAGGGTGAGGCTTGGATTCTGGAGATGTTGAAGACTGAAGGGAGGAGACTGGAGAGCTGAGTTCTTCCCTTGTTTGGATCGGTATCCTAGCCGGGGAAGAACGCTGGGAGGGTCATAAATCTTCCCTTTGTGATCTTTGTGATCTGAGCCGAGCCATGAGAAAGCTTGGAATCTTGGCACTGCCATCTGAACGGCACAGCCAACGTCGGGTAAGTGGTGGTGAGTGGGAGGGAGAAGCAGCCCCCCTCCCGCTCTCCCAACTGTCCTCTGGATCGGACGGCGAGATGGGCGCACGTGACGAGGGCAGCACAACCCTGCTCCCAAACCAGGGAATTAGGAGGTTCGGCAGGTCTTTCCTTTCCCTGGCACTTGAAACACTGCTATGACCGAGGAGGAAGGGCAAGGAAGAAGGGTAGAAGTGGAGCGATGGAGAGAAGGAGAGAGGGGGAAAGAGAAAGACAGAGAGAGGAGAAATGAGAGTCTAAGGGCAACTGTGAAATCCAAATCAAAACTAGGAAATAATGAGATTTCCCAGGGTCCCTGCTGTAGGAAGGGCAGAGGGTGATAAGGCTGTAGTAGCAGAAGAGAGAGCAGGATGTGAGCCTCCCTTCCTCCTTGCCATCACTGTTGCTGTTCTTGGTCCCACTCTTTCTCCTTTTCCCTTGTCCATTATTGGATTGTGCTTCCTTCCCCCAAATCTCTCTGAAATTAAATTCGTTTTGTGACCTGAAAGCATCTGTTCTTCACTGCTTGGTGTCATGGTGATGCCTAGATGGGCAAAAGAGAAGGGAATGAGGAAGCTCTCCTGATCCACATTCAGTTAGTAGTCCTCACTAGAGTGCACCAATCCCATTGACAGAATGGATCTGTTCTAGTTCTGACTAGCCACTGGATTTGTGCAGGATGTGTGGAAAAAGGAAATCTCCCTTTACTGAAGACTCAGGTGTCTCAACATGCCTTTAGAGAAAATGTTTTAAAGACTACCACCTAAAGTAAGTTGCAAGGAAAGATTCAAGAGCAGCTAAGCACCTCGGACTCACCAACCTCTCCTTAACGACTGGGTCACAAAGGAAGCCACACACAAAGAAGAAAGAGTTACTATTTAAACCTCTCTCTTAATGCATTCCATTTTCACTTATGAATGTGCTCTGCATACCAGTTCTGCATATATCTCTATGCCACAAGGTATTACTCAAAAAGTTGCCCACCGTGTACAGTTGGTGTGTTGTTAAACTGCCCTTTCAAAAAAACCTGGGAACATGTTTGCAGAAGTTGGCAAGACACATTTGGAGGGCGAGCTAAAATACTATTTAATACACCAAGCTCTTGGCTCCACCTAGTGGCAAGCATGGAGAGATGGCTGGAAATAAACAGCACGCTAGCTGGAGAATAGAGATGGGGACATTCATATATGAATATCCACACACAGGTGGCGTTAACGATGGTCCAGCCCTATGGGGCTGGACGGTCCACTCACCAATCTGCCATGGACTCGGATGGCGCGATTCTACCAATGGCGCTGCAGTGTGTGGTCCGCTCACTACTCCTGGCAGGAGGTGGGAGGACAAGCATTGCTTCAAGGTTGAAAAGTGGCAAGCAGATAGTGTACTGTGGCACCATTAGTAGAACCACACTGTCTGCATCTGCGGCAGATCAGTGAGTGGATCATCCGGCCCCATGGGTCTGGACCCTCTTTAATGCCACCTGTGCGGGGATATCCATATACGAATGCCCCCATCTCTACTGGAGAACTCCAGTCAACAAGCAGAGGGAAGTGACTGGCCAAGATCTCTGTGAAGTTAATTGCTCGCCTGTCATGGTTGTTCCTGTGCCACTTACAGGACGGTTGTTTGGCAGTAGTTTTCTAAGATTTGATGAGGATCACTATTTTTCACCTTGGTCTAAGACAGAAGAAAAGCCAGATAAAAGGAAAATATAATGAACTTGTAAACTTCTGCAGTAACTATTCTTTCTAGGCCTGAGAGCTGACATGTGGCACCCTTAGCACACTGTAGGCCGGCCTGGGTTTCCAGGCAACGTTCCTCCCTTAGCCGCCTCCCTTTCCCACAGCTTAGAGACAAATCCCTGGCCAACAGAACCTTCCTCTTAACTGCCCTTCTATTTTAATTTTTTCTTTTGTGTGACACGCCCACTTGTGGGTGGGTGGGGCGCGGGGCAGCGGAGATCTGTGTCTGCGGCCCAGTTCAAGGAGGCCCACGGACCGGCACTGGGCCGCGTACTGGGGGTTGGGGACCCCTGATTTATACGGTCGGTAAGATTGACGTTTCCAAGAGTATTGATGCTTGTAATACAGTGGTGCCCCACTATATGCTTACCCCGCATGACGTCAAATTGCTTGACGATGACATTTTTGCGATCGCTATTGCGATCGCAAAACGATGGTTCCAATGGTGGAAATCCGCTTTACGTTGATTAGGTCCTTGCTTCGCAAACCGTTTGTTCGCAAAACGATGTTTTTTCCGGTTCCACAAAATGGCTTCCCTCCCTTCTCAAAATGGCTGCTTTCCGGATGGAAGCTTCACATTACAGTGATTTTTAACAGCTGATCGGCGGTTCTCTATGGGCAATCTTCGCTGGACAATGAGGTATTTCCACTTTGGAACGCATTGACTGGTTTTCAGTGCATTTCAATGGGTTTTTTTCGCTTGACGATAATTTCGCTTAACCGATTTTGCTGGAACGCATTATCGTCGTCAAGCAGGGCTCCACTATACAGTTGAAAAGAATAAGAGTGAACCTCGCTTAACCGATTTTGCTGGAACGCATTAAGTTGCTGGAACGTCAAGCAGGGCACCACTGTACAGTTGAAAAGAATAAGAGTGAACTGTCTTTTTTGCCTTTTGTAGCCCTTCAAGGATATCATCTGTCTTCGGGTCAAACAGGCCTGTACTGTCGAAAGGTAAGTCCTATATTCTGGTTTCGGAATCATCGTTGATGTTGGCCGACCAAAGCCATGTGTGGCACCTAATGGCCACTCCAGTCTCAGACTTTGAAATGCTGCTTCGATGATATGCCTGGCAGTCACTCTTTCCTGTCTCGCCAGAGCCAGAGCCTCTTGGTGTAGTGATAGGCCTCTGGGTTTCAACTCTGCTGGGGCCGCCTGTAAGGATGGGAAGGCATGATTACCGAGATGCTTGTGGTATGCGCCCATCGCGGCCATATAACTTTAAGCCCTGAGAGTGACAGAGGCAAGAGAGGAAGCTCTTGTTGTTAGGGGCATTGTTAGAACTGGATCTGGATTTGGTTTGGGTCACATCAACCACCAATGAATTAGGAGAAGGATGTTTGGTCAGGAAGTCCAGCTTGGTACCGTGGATCTTATATAGGTTTTCAACCTGACGGGACATTTGTAGGACTGAGCAAGGTTTGTCCCAGGACTGCTTGATGAGGCGAAATAGTGATGGGATAAAAGCCATATGTAGAGGCAGGTTTTGGTCCTCATCTATATCTTCGTGAACTTTATCTGTAGCAATCTGAGGTGGTTGGTGAACAGAAAGGTCCAAAGCTGAAGCCATTCGCTGAATCATATTGGAATAAGAGGCAAAGTCAGCTGCCGGTGAAGTGGGGTTATTGTTATCAACTTCAGAGACCGGTGTTGTTGGCGTTTGGTGGAAATTCATGAAATGGGGGGGTCTGACGAATCCGACTCACACAGGGTAGAGTCTGAGGGATCAGTGAGAAAAGGAGAATCATCTCATGAGTGGCAAGTTGGTTTGGCAGATTGTGAGGTTTTAAACGGTCCCTTCTTTTTATGCCTGGTACCATGCCCGGTACCAAAGGCATCCAAATGCACTGACGAATCCGAGTCTGCTGAAGGGGAACGGCGGTGATGGCATTTAGCAGGCTTTTCAAATTGTTCAGGAACCGTGAGAGATTCTTTGCGTTGTTTAAGCGACACGTTACCAGGAGCTTTGGTACTGTGAACAGCCGAGGTACGGTCCCAACACTGGGCGTTAGCGGCAGGCTCTGCTGATTTGAATCGCTTAATAGCCGTCAGTACTGGTTTGGGATCTTTCTTGGGTCCACTTGGTACCGACGAAGTTCGCGAATGTCGGTCCCACTTACATCCCGTCGCCCAAAGCTCGGACCATAGAAGATGAATCCTCCTCTGAGGAGCTGGTATCAGAGGAGGAGGAGGAAGAAGAGGAGTCCGAATTGGAAGAGTCGAATCCGTACAACAGGCGGGGGTCGCACCACTTCTCCATCTGCTTACGCCAGCATTTGATCTGCTTCTGGCTGTACGGGAGGGGTGGCCAATCATCAGGGTGCCCTTGGCCCTTCTTGTGCTTGGGGTGATGTTTTCAAACCCCAGATTTCTTAGAGACCTTCAGTCTCGAATGCTTCGAAGACTGGGAATCTCCTGCAGCAGTTACCAAATGTTTAGTCTTCTCCTTTCTCTTTTTTACTGTTATTGTATCTGGTAACAGCAGTGAGGCTGAGCCCGGTTCCGAAGACAC